GTGCGTGTGCGTGTGCGTGCGTGTGTGTGTGTGAGTGCGTGTGCGTGCGTGTGTGATTTTTCACATTTTTTTGCTGTTACTTACAAAATTCTAAGACAAAAAAACAATTAGATACATTAGCAATCTGATGATCATCTCAAGTCAGTGACTTTTCTAGGTTAAGTAGTGTTAAGGAAACCATTAAAATCTAAGATTTTGGATAGAGATTCAAACCAGCGACTTGAGTGAACTTCAGTGAGATGAGAAATCAGAAAATAAACCTCTAGACCAAATAGTACACTTTGAACAGTTGGTGGCGCTCCTGAGTTGGACTGGTCAGACCAACCCTAACCTGTGCACCAAACATCAGACCATACGGATCTACGGGTCACCACAGACTCCCAGTCTGAAGATGATGAGGATGAGGATGATGTCAGAACAGAAACTACAGCAGCGACACACCATCAGCCGTCAACCCTAATAAAACACAGATAATACAATTACTACAATCAAACATTATCATCTGAGCAGAAACACACAAAGGTGAGTTTCTGAAACGCTCTTTACCTTTACTGTTGATTTTTCTTTTTTTTTCCTCTCCTCTGTGTCCATCCAAAGACTTGAGCAACACAACCGCAGCTATTTAAAGAACAGCCCACCGTTAACAGCCCTGATCCCATGAGCTCACTAATTATGAGGGAATGTAGAAAGCAGCGGCTCAGAATAGACTGACCTTAAACCCGGAGAGCAGGTGAGAGCCAAGCGCCATCCCGCTGTTGATAAAGCACAGACTTTCATCAGTCTCACATACAGTTCCCATGTTTATTGATAATATATGCCAGAGTTATTCTCCATAAGCCCAGAGTAAACAGACGCGGATGTGACGCAGTGCAGGATTGCATGTTGGTTTGGCTTATGACAGCTGTTTCAGGTGCAATTAAAGTCTTCTAAAGTTCACAGACATCATGAGCTCACTCGCTCTCTCTCTCTCCTCCAGAATGGCTTTGAAGTGTTCCTCACTCTTTCATTTCAGCAATAAACTCAAACGAGCGCTGGGACTGTAAAAATGAGCGGGAACCAGCACAGTCCAGTGAACACAGTCAGTGTCCAGTTCACTGTGAGAGCGAGAGGTACGCATTTCTGTGAGGATGAAACTCATTAAGAGAAGCATTCTCAAAGACGCATCTTCTCATCATCGTGGTAAAACAATTAAACAGCAAACACTTATAATATGGTTACCATAAAATACAATCAAGCAGATGCTTTTGGCTTAGAAATGAGAAGTACAATGAAGCAATTCATCTGTATGATCATGCATAACTAGGACAGAAAAATGAACAGACCAACTTTTGACACGAAGGAGAAAACGTTTGTTCCTGTTAATAAATTGTTGAAATCAATGAAATTTGATCACACTCTACAATATTCAATAGTGATTTGGGAGATGTCAGCTCATGAACAAACCTATACAAGAAAAAGAAAACACCACCCAGACGACATTTTTGACCTGCACATGATGGATGCTAAATATGTTTTATGCAGTGCAATATTGGCTGCAATAAAGGAGGATGAAACTTTTTCATTTTGCATAATAAACCATTTTAATGTTCACATGTAGAAGCTCCACAGGAACACAGAAACATCTGATGGTCTTCCTGTACAGAAACAAACAACATTTAGATTGCGTGCTCCCGTAAAACTTCAGTAGGTATTTAAGGTGAAGGGATGTACACGGCTTCTGCGTTTGCAAATGAGCGTGAGCTTTTAGATCAGCCGTTTTATGGCCGATCGTTTGGGAAATGAAAGAGTAAAGCAGAGGTCTGCGTGTCTGTCGGCAGTATGCAGCGCTGCCCTCAGGGCTCGAATGCTGGGAACGTTTGATGTGCTGAGAGCTGCGGAGGCCAGGTGTGTAAAACTGTAAATTTGCCTCCTAAATACAAACAGGAAAAGTGAAAGAGTGCTTGACCTTCTGCAGAGATGAACAATTCCAGCAGTAAACGGCCCTCTGTTTAACTTCCTCAATTGTAGGCCCGCATCATTAGATTTATTGCCCTCGTAGAATCACTATCAGCCTTTGAATTCAACTCGGGCTTTGATGTTTGTCTGTATGACACCAACAAATGACAGACGAGATCCTTTAGATCACATGAGAACTAAAGGGTCTTGAGAAATCCCGAATCTCACGGCATGTGATTTTTCATAAATGCTGAGACAGTGGGCATCGATGTAACAGCAGTTTCTTGAGATGGTCCTCACTGAAGCACACAAGATCCAGGGGGCATGGTTGGATCCAGATCCAACTCCTCTCACCTTATATATATCTAAACCTACACGTCTCCACCCCCAAATCCATAAACCTACCCATCTCCACCCCTAAACCTAACCATCTCCACCCCTAAACCCACCCATCTCCACCCCCTTGATGTGGATCCAACCACGCCCCCTGACCCATCTCCACCCCTAAACCTACCCATCTCCACCCCTAAACCCAACCATCTCCACCCCTAAACCCACCCATCTCCACCACTAAACCTACCCATCTCCACCCCTAATCCCACCCATAAACCCACCCATCTCCAACCCTAAATCCACCCATAAACCTACCCATCTCCAACCCTAAATCCACCCATAAACCTACCCATCTCCAACCCTAAATCCACCCATAAACCTACCCATCTCCAACCCTAAATCCACCCATAAACCTACCCATCTCCAACCCTAAATCCACCCATAAACCTACCCATCTCCAACCCTAAATCCACCCATAAACCTACCCATCTCCAACCCTAAACCCACCCATCTCCACCTCTAAACCCACCCATCTCCACCCCCTAGATGTAGATCCAACCACGCCCCCTGGATCTTGTGTTCTGCAGTGAGGGGCTACGGAGTTTCTTAGAGTCTGTGTGCAGATCTCGCAGGATTCGTCCCACATACCTCAGAGAGAGAGAGAGAGAGAGAGAGAGAGAGAACGGCTGCCTCTCTCGTCCACCGGAGGCCTGGCCAGCAGAAACGGACGATTATCTCTCTCTCACCGTCAGTCTCTCTCGCCAGCATCCCAGGGACAGCTGAGTGGCTGAGGCGTAATTGCAGAGAAGTGAGGTCAGCAGGAGGCTTTTATCAGAGATCGCACAGCGTTCAGCAACACGAGAAGATGCACAGCGCAGACGGGCTGCCCCAAAACTCCCTCTCTCAGAGTATCACAGTGGAATCGTCGGGACTGAAGCGCACATCCTGGAAACAGAAGTAAGTCGCTTTTAAAGACTGTTATTAAAAAGAATTATCGTAACATTTTAAACCAATATATAAATTTGGCAGAAACTAGGCAGAGTAAGACAGAGACTAATACACTGTCATTTAAAGTAGCAGTAGAGCAAAACTGAGACATTTAAAACAGAAATGGACCGATGTTAAAACATTTAAATTAGAGACAGAGCAATACTGAAACATTTAAGATAATAATAGAGTGATACTGAAACATTTAAAGTAGAAATAGAGTGATACTAAGACATTTAAATGAGAGAAAGAGCCACACTGAAACATTTAAAGAAATGATAGAGCGATACTGAAACATTTGATGTAGAAATACAGCAATCCTGAGACATTTCAAGTAGAAATAGAGCTATATTGAAATATTTAAAGTAGTAATAGTGTGACACTAAGACATACAAAGTAGAAATAGAGCAATACAGACACATTTAAAGTAGCAATAGAGCGACACTGAGACATTCAAACTAGTGACAGAGTGACACTGAGACATTCAAAGTAGCAATAAAGTGATATTGAGACTGAAATCTGAGAATCTGATATAGAGATAGAGTGACACTGAGGCAATCAAAGTAGCAATAGAGTGATATTGCTTAAGTAGCAACAGAGTGACACTGGAACATTTGATGTAGCAATAGAGCGACAGTGAGACATTCAAAGCAGCGATAGAGCAATATTGAGACATTTGAAATAGCAATAGAGCCATACTGAGACATTTACAGCAGTGATAGAGCAACACTGAAAAATTAAGATTAGCGATAGAGCGACACTGAGACATTTAAAGTAGTGGTAGAGCGACAATTAAAAATTAAGATTAGCGATAGAGCGACACTGAGACATTTAAAGTAGCGATAGAGCGACACTGAGAAATTAAGAGTAGTGATAGAGCGACACTGAGACATTTAAAGTAGCTATAGAGCGACACTGAGACATTAAGAGTAGTGATAGAGCGACACTGAGACATTTAAAGTAGCGACACTGAAAAATTAAGATTAGCGATAGAGCGACACTGAGACATTTAAAGCAGTGATAGAGCGACACTGAAAAATTAAGATTAGCGATAGAGCGACACTGAGACATTTAAAGTAGCGACAGAGCGACACTGAAACATTTAAAGTAGCGATAGAGCGACACTGAGACATTTAATTAAAGTAGCAACAGAGGAATATTGAGACATTTAAAGTAGTGACCGAGGTATATTGCGATATAATTGAATATTATAGAATAGTGAGCTGTGCCCACTCGGCCGATTCACAGAAGTGATCATTTTCTCCAGCGTCAGTCATCTACAGACAGCCCTGCCATTTAACAATCAAATGTCTTGCAGTGAATTCTGAGTAAATCTTGTGTAAAATCAGTGTTCAGTTGAATTCAGGAATCCTTTTTGTATCTTATATCATTACTATGTTATCTATATATAAGTATTATGTATATATAAACCCTCTCTAGATATCTGGAACTGTGTGGAACTGGCCTGTCTCCTGTATCTTCATCAGGATTGGACAGCGTGTGAAGCATCCATTTGTTCATTTGTGTCATTAACAGCAGAAACTAACACACCGCTGCCTCCTCCAGCTCTGAGGAGATTCTGCTGCAGGAGGTCAGAGGTCACGCCAGCATCTGAGGATTGTACTGGGAAAGGGTCCGAGCGGATCTCCCACAGCTTGAAGATCCAATCTGAGTTTTGCCTTCAGTATGTGGATCATGAACTCCTTGAGAAACGCAGTATAATGCGCAAATGGACGCTGCGATGGAAACTGCCTGAGTTTGCGTGTGGACTGTGGCTGGCGCTGCTGGCCAGCCGTGTTTGTGTGTGCGATGGACAGGCGTCTGTGACCGACTGCTCCAAATACGAGCACCACACCAGGAATTACGACTACATGGAAGGAGGGGACGTTCGGATCCGACGCCTCTACAGTCGCACGCAGTGGTTTCTGATGATCGACGAGTTCGGGAACATCAACGGGACGCAGGATCCCAACAACTGCTACAGTAAGAGCGTCATCACTCACTTCTGACGTGTCTGTCTGAGGTCTTCATGTTTCTGTTGTGTGTCAGGGTGATGAAAAATAACATTAACAAGCGTTAGATGATGCTTATATGAATATTTGAAAATATCGAAGTTGCATGATAGTTTCAACTGAATGTGCATTCTGTTTTTTGATCAAAAACATTGTGTCTAAAGTCCATGATTGGTAAAGGCCTCTTCAGTTATAGTAGAGACTAGAGACTGTATGTGGAAGGAATCGGCTGGTCAGGGTTCCAGTGGGATTATGAGCAGGTCGCGTGGCAGTGTGACGAGAAGTGACAGGCGTAAAGAGAAACAGGTGTTTGGGGGGAGTATTTATAACTCTTGTTTCCCTTCGTTGGAGGACTTAGTGGTCAGAAGTTATCAGATGTGGTCAGAATGGAGGTACAGTTCAGTGATTGCAATCTAGTTTGTGTAGAGAGCGTCAAAACAACAACAAAAAAATGAGACTGGAAGCTGATGTTGTGTGCATGGATACATAATGAATTATTTAGCTGATAAAATAAATATTTAAATAATTGATTATTCACTTTAATGATCATGTATATACATAACATCAGCCTCCGGCATGTTTGGTTATTAGTCATTTCAGTTGTGTACGAGAAGAAAGCCGTTGTGTTGGCGTGACGGCATGCATCTCTGCTCTGGAGGGGAAATGATTACGTCAGCTGGCGCTGAAAAGAAGAAAAATTGATACAGCCAGATGTGGCCGACAACTGCACGCACAGAGCGCATGCAAGACATGCAGTGAGGGTCGGTCAGCGCCGCGGGAGAGAAAAGCAGACGCGTTCTGAGGTTCTGTCAGAGCTGTGCCGTGACAGCAGCTTATTATACCACTGGAGCCGCTCACATGTGAAGCAAACACTTCCAGAGACACACACACACACACTCACACACTCACACACACACACACTCACACTCTCACACCACACACTCACACACACACACACTCACACACACAACACACACTCACACACTCACTCACACACACACACACACACACACACGCACACACACACACACAGCTCAAAACGACAAGAGCAGTGTCTGCTTCTCATCCAAACACAACAAACATGCTCCAGCTGTCAAATATCTGTGCAACTGGAGCTTTAGCTCGCTGTAGATCGAGATCGAACCATCTGATGTTGATATTTTGCTTCATAGGAATGGATTCTGAAAGCCGAGGTGTGTTTTTCTGCACCATTAAACAGAATAGCAACAATAAATTCTTGCATATTCAGCTGAAATACAGTAGAAGTAATTTAACACCCATCACCTTTAAACAATTTCTCAATAACTGAGTGGCCAAATAACCAGCATCTCAAATAAAGCTGTGTGTGTTTCAGGTGTTCTGGAGATCAGGACGGTTTCGGAGGGCGGTGTGTTGGCCATAAAAGGACTGAAGAGCCAGTATTATATTTCCATGAACCGCACCGGAATGTTACAGGGCAAAGTATAAAGCCATCCGTCCTGCAAACACACAACATACACCAGCTAATCAGATTATCCCAGCTAACGCTCTCTCTCATCTTTCATTGAAGAGTAAATATAACACATGCCACGGATAATTCAGCAAACACAACACAACGCAATACATCTCGCTTCTGTCGTACCTTACGATCTGTTCTTCTTTCCCGAGCAGAAAGACTACAACGACAGCTGCAACTTCAAAGAAGTGTTTTTAGAGAACTACTACACGGCGTACTCGTCCGTCAGATGGACTAAAAACGGCAAAGAGATGTTCATCTCTCTGTCGCAGAAGGGCCGGCCGCTGAGAGGAAAGAAGACGAGGAAGGAGAGCATCTCTTCTCACTTCATCCCTCGAAAGTGCAGGGAAGACGAGAAGAAGCTGGCGTGAAGAAGATCTGTTCTGACTCACTGCTACTCTGATTCCTCAAGCTTCAGCCATAAATCATTCATGCTTTCACTCTCTGAGAAGCAGTGGGTAAAACTGCATATATGCAAGTGTTTTGGACTCATGTAAACAAACAGTTATAAATACTCATCTAAGCTATTTTTATATTTCAGAGAGATGTTTATGTTAGAGCCCATGAGAACGAGAACACCAAATAAACACTGCAATGCATTTATACGGATGATCATTCTCATTAAACACAGCAGTGCTTTAGATCACAGCGTTTATAGCGCTCCATTTATACTGCATAAACACATTTACATGCCTTCAACATTCATCCTGAGGAGTTTAGGTTTTCATTTAGTTTGAGACATTCCCTTCTCATTTCCAGTCCAGTTCAGTGAGAAAATAATAGCAGTTCCCTTGTTTCATTTCATTTTGACTTTTTAAAAAATCTTTGGGTTTGGCATTTTTGCCATGTGTTATTTTCATTCTAAAAATCGCATGCATTTCACGTCAGTGAGTGATTCATCAGTTCTAAGGAATACAATGTTTGTCTTCATAATCTTCCATCTAAATATCATAACGATTTTCCTTTTCACCATCAATCCACCTTCATATTGAGACCCTGCAGTCAGTTTCTCGGCGCTCGAATGCGATCGTGTCCATGTGTTGTTGTGTGTTATTTATGATATTTATGTGTCGCTGGCTCTGAGTTCATGAACGCAGTGAATCGTCTGTATTCTGGATCGCTGTGCTGCAAACACACACAGAGTTTGCACGAGTTTATAATTTGCTGCTACAAATCTGAGGTTTTATATGATTATAGATTCATTTCAATAAACGTATATATATATATATCTTTCCATGGAGTGGCATGTTGTGAGATTTGTTCGTGTGGACTTTATCTGGACACACGGAGGGTGTTTATACAAACACTGCAAAAAACAGCTTCATCGATCTCTGCATGGATCAGATTTTCTCTGTTTAACACCGTTACAGCGACTGGGAGAAAGCTCATCTCCAGACATTTAGGTCCACATTCTGTCAAACACTAATCACCACAATGAGGACATCAAACCACAGCATCCCACAATGCAGTGCAATAAGCTTCCTTTTTTGACAGGGATTTTTTTGTTTAGACAGAAACTGACATTTGACAGTAAAATTCTGAATAAAGTATTTTACAGTGTTTTACAGTGAGACCTGCATGTTAAATACTGGAATGTTTGGGATTGTTATCTCAGACTCTCTACTTGTACAATGAAATAATTTGCAATCTAATCAATATTTAATCATTTATTTATTTATTTCACACACACTCTCTCTCTCACACACACACACACACACACTCTCTTTTACACACTCAGACACACACACACACACACACACACACACTCTCTTTTACACACTCAGACACACACACACACACACACACACACACACTCTCTCTCTTTTACACACTCAGACACACACACACACTCTCTCTCTTT